TTTCCAGACCTGAAGGGGTGGTCAAGGAACAAGTCTCAGTTTCCTCCATCCAGTCTCTTTCTGACCAGTAAGGCTGCTCCTTTTGATAATTTTGAGTTTTGTTCCACATTTTCTCCCACTCTATATGGGACTTTCTAATGTGATCCCTTTCAACACAGTTGGTAGTGAAACCATCTAGTTCTTCTGGTCATGGAGACTGATGTTCACATGTTCCTTTAGTCCATTGGACAAATTGATTCCAAGCATCTTCAATTCTCATCACTCTTCTTTCTTCCACACACAGAGAGACCAATAGTTGCACCTTAGATGGCCACTCATGGACTTCTAATATCCCAGATACTACTCAACAAAGTAGGATGTAGAACATGGGCTTTGTGGACTATATTATGCAAATTGACCATGGTGCTGGAAGGGACATTTTTAAGGATCATTGAACTGCCACTTTGGCAGTGGGACCTCTTTCTTCCATCATGTCCTTTAAAAATACCTGTAGCAAAATAGGCTGGGACTGGACAGTGCTTGACTATAGTCATAGGACTAGTTGAGTTAGACAGGGCTGTTGGATCCCTAAAGAATCCTGGTGGCATAGTGGATTGAGTATGGGCCTACTAACTAAAATTTCAGTGGTTAGAAGTAAACAGCTGTTCCAAGGAAGAAAGATGCAGCTGTCTGCTTCTATAAAGATTTACAGTCTCAGAAACCCCAGAGAATCATTCTATTCTGTCCTGTGAGGTTGCTGTGATTTGGAATTGACCTGATGGTGGTAGATTTTGGCTTTTGGTGGGATCCCCAAGTCTAAACCAATGGTTCGCAACCCATCCCAGACTCTACCTTAGACCAAAGGATCTGAATCTTCAGGGTTGGGGTACACTGTGAAGTTCTGAGAGTCCCTGGAAGTGGGGGCAGGGAGTCCCTCAGCTTTTCCCAATAATAATAATAATAATAATAAAAAAGATGATCCTATGATTCTATTTTCTTTGCCTCTGGAAGTCTGCTTTCAGTTGATTAATAATTTGGAGAAGCTAAGGATGATTTGTTCATTTCAAATACCTTCTTTAGACAGCATAAGAGATGACTATACACATGGACTTCACCAGATGGGATACACAAAAATCAAATTGACTACATCTGTGGAAAGAGACAGTGGAAAAGCTCTATATCATCAGCCCAAACCAGGCCAGGGGCAGATTGTGGAACAGACCATCAATTGCTCTTATGCAAATTCAGACAGAAGCTGAAGAAAATGAAAACAAGTCCATGAGAGCCAAAATATGACCTTGAACATATCCCACCTGAATTTTGAGATAATCTAAAGAACAGATATGATACATTAGACACTAAAGATCAAAGACCAGAAGAGTTGTGGGATGACATCAAGAACATCATACAGGAAGAAAGCAAAAAGTTATTGAGAAGAAAAGAAAGAAGAAAAGATCAAAATGGATGTCAGAAGAGACTCTGAAACTTGCTCTCCAGTGTAGAGAGGCTAAAGCAAATGGAATAAATGAGGAGGTAACAAGAGCTGAACAGAAAATTTCAAAGGTCAGCTCGAGAAGACAAAGTCAAATATTACAACAAAAGATCTGGAGTCAGAAAACCAAAAGGGAAGGATACACTCAGCATTTCTCAAGGTGAGGAAACTGGAGAAAAAATTCAAGCCTCGACTTGTGTTATTGAAGTATTCTCTGAGCAAATTGTTGAATGATGCAGAAA